ACAGGTGGTGAACCGGCTCGCTCTGCCCAGGGGCCAGGTGGTGAGGTGCCCTGCCTAGGGGCCACTCGAGGCCACCCCGCCCCTGCAGGTTAATTCATGCTGCTCCTGAAACCTGTGCAAGGGACTTGGGTGCAGGTCTAGGCAATCAACCTTTGCAATAGCTGTTAGGGAAATGTGCCCCCCAGCAAAGTAAATGGTGCTGTGTTTTTCCCCAATAACTTGCAACATTTGGTGAATGCCATTTGTATCCACTTCCTCAGAAGCACTGACTGCTGCTGTGAGCTAGTCCCTCCATGTGACCAAGGAACAAAAACACAACGCAGGGCTTCAGAAAAATAAAAGCATAATATGGATTATACGGCGCAGGGACCAAAATTAGGTAGTTTTCTCTCAGTGCTGTCGAGGGGAAACTGACTCACAGCTGAGCCTCCAAAGAGCTTCTGAAAGTGGTAAATCACACGGGAGGAGAAGGCCCATCTTTCTCCCTCGGAGCAGCTGGTGGACTTGAACTGCCTGCCTTTGGGTGGCCAGTGTAACCCTTACCCCCTGGGTGACCCGAGCTCCCCTACAGCATAGAGACTGGAGGTCTGAAGAGCTGATCTACGTGCAGGCGTGCCGCATTCTATGGTGCTTCACTTTACCACATTTGGCAGATGCGGTGTTTTCATTTTGTTTTGCTTACAGATTGAGGGTTTCTGGCAACTGTGCACCAAGCAAACCTATCGGCACCGTTTTTCCAAAGGCAGCGCTCTCACTTCATGCCTCTGTGGCACATCTGGTAAACTGTGCAAACTGGCAAGCTTTTCCCTAACGCTCCTGCTCGCTCTGTAGACTCTGCTGCTGCGAGCTGCCAGGCTGCTTCTGACTCACAGGGGCCCTACGGACACCGGCATGTCCTGCTCAGTCAAAACGCCCCACAGCTGACCCTTCAGACAGAAGAGTGCTCATACTTCTCCCACGGAGAAGCTGGTGGACTTGAACTGTGCGCCTTCTGACCGCTAGGCTACTCCTTTCTCAAGCTGGGCCCTCCAATACATGATAGCGCAACACAGCTTTTTAATGCACTTGGATACAAAAAAAATTCTAGTGAATTCTTGTCAATTTACTGTCATCTTCCCGCTGTTAACATGCTCTGCATCTCAATCCTCAGTAAAGCGGAGGCTGGCCTGGACTCGCATGATCCCAGTCTGCATTTTTACACTGGTAGAACTCCCCAATCTTGTGTCCCACTTGGATGCCCAAGACTCCTGGCACCAGACATCACGTTAGTAAAATGAGTTTGTTTCTGATGAGTTCAGAGGACAACAAACTTGGAAATGAAAATTTAAAACTAAAAAAATCCACCTAGATTTGGTGAACCTATCCGTGATTGGCTTCTTTTAATGTGAGCAGGCCGGGTTTAGAAGGGGTCATGGTACTAGGGACATTAGCTAATGGTAGAAGAATCTTAGCTGAAAGCAGAGAATACCAGAGGAACGTCTATCTGTGTTTCATTGACTATGCAAAGGCGTTTGACTGTGTGGATCATAACAAACTGTGGCTGACTCTGAGAAGAATGGGAATCCCAGAACACTTGACCGTGCTAATGAGAAACCCATACTTGGACCAAGAGGCAGTCATCAGAAAAGAGCAAGGAAACACTGCATGGTTCAAAATTGGGAAGGGTGTACGCCAGGGATGTGTCCTATCTCCATACCTTTTCAACCTGTATGCAGAACAGATTATCCGGGAGGCTGGGCTCTATGAGGAGAAGTGTAGCATCAGGATTGGTGGAACATCTATTAACAATCTACGTTATGCAGATGACACAACCCTGCTTGCTGAAACTGAGGAGGACCTGAAATGCTTGCTGCAGAAAGTTAAGGACTGTAGCCTCCAATATGGATTGAGGCTCAGTGTCAAGAAAACAAAGATTCTCACCACTGGCCCAACTGGCAGCATCAGGATGGATGGTGAAGAGACTTAAGACTGTTAAGAGCTTTAATTTGCTTGGCTCCACAGTCAACAGTCTTGGCAGCAGCAGCCAGGAAATGAAAACATATATTGAAATAGAAATGTCTGCTGTTAAAGCGCAATGGCATCATTTTGGAGACTAAGGTGCACCTGATACAGGCCATGGTCTCTGCAATCACTTGCTATGCATGAGAGTTGGACAGTGACTAGGGATGACAGCAGGATAAGGATAGACTGCTAAGAAAACAAACAGGTTAAACCTGCTCCTTGGAGGCAAGGATTCTGAGGCTTCGTCTGACATACTTTGGACATGTTGTAAGGAGGGACCAATCCTTGGAGAAGGACGTCATGCTTGGGAGGGTGGAGGGACAGCGCAGGAGGGAAAGACCCTCTATGAGGTGGATTGATTCAGTGACTGGGGTAATCGGGGTCCATGTGTAAGAGACAGTGAGGTTGGCACAGGACAGAGCAGGGTATTGGGCTATTGTAAATAGGGTTGCTATGTGTTGCAGGAGACTTGACTGCACACAACAACCACAACATGCATGCGAACATCTGAATCCATCATGCCTTCCTGTCCTCAAGTCCTCAGCTGACGAGCTATAGATCAGAGCCTGATCGAGTTGTGCCCTGTGCGAAGGGCTGCAAGCATGTGTAACCACGTGATGCACAAACCACAGGCCCTGCGAACATAATTCATCCGAATAAAGAGCCTAATCTCATTTATAAAGAGTCAAGTCGCTGGGCTAAGTGGGGGATCAAATTGCACAAAACCAACGCACAGCAAAATAGGAGACTGAACATTTACCAGAGCGACTTTCTTTAGAGGCAGAAAAAAAACAACCACACCCTCTCAGAGAATGCCAGAAGGGAAGTCCCTGCACTGGCCTGTCCCAGGAAGAGCCCAGAGCGCCCTGCTCCCCCAGGTGCCACCTGCAAAGGGTGATTATTATCTGGATGATAAACAACTATCACTGCCAGAAAGTCAAGCTGGATTCAGGAAAGGCCCTGCAACAAACGATTTCTCTGCTAACGTCAGATGGATCTTGGCTGCAGAAGAGACTATCAGAAAGATGTGTGTTTCCTTGTGTTTTACCGACGCCACCAAGGCACTCAATTGGGAGGATTATAGTAAATTATGGGTAACATGGAGAAGAACGAG